TGGATATTAAAAAAAAAGAATGAAAAGTATTATTGCACCATCACTACTTCTTGGCTGATTGTTCAACATGATACATCAACAAAAATAAGTCTAAAATCAGTGGTAGAAAAAAAAATTGAAGGTTTTATTTTTCAAATTTTAAAAATAGAGTGAAATCATGAATCAACAAAAAGAGAAAGCAAAAAATATATTCAAGCCAAAAATTTAATTATACCAACTAGAAAGGTCCATCCTTTCCATATACAATAATGTAATAATACTAGTGAAATTTGAGTGAGTTTTATTTTTCCATGTCCGTAGGGGCTTTCTTCACTTAACTACAAAACTTAATTATTAAACTCATCATTTCTGATCGAGTGTACTATGCTATGGTAAATGTTAATGCTATGTTATGTTGCTATCTCCCCGTCTCTTTCCCAATTCTTGGACAGAAAAAAATATGTGAAATTATGAACATCCACATGCATTTTGTTCCTAGGCGGGAAGCAATGCAAGGAAAACGGAAGAATTCAGAGTATGCTCTTTCATTTCAATTTATTTGGCTAGGTTTTTGAAAAAATTGTTTTGCTAGGATGGAATTAGTAGAGTAGGTACCCATTGATGTTTATGTGTGATAAGCTTTTTTCTGCACTTAATGACAATAATGTCTATAGCAAGTGACTCTTTCTTTTCTTTGTTCTTTTCATATAAGAGAGTTCCAAATAAATTGCAAAATGGAATCCTTTTTGTTAGATAATATTTAATGACATAAATTTGTTATAAATGTAAAAGGAGGATTTTGAAGCGTGAAAGAGAGAGAATTTTGTTTTTATATTTTCTTACGAGAATTATCGTAGTTCTGAACGGTTGAAAAAGTCATGCGAGAGCTGTGTTGTAATTGGTGTTGTGATTAAATTTTTTTATTTAAGAATGTGATTATTTTGTGAATTGTATTTGTAAGGGACTCAAAAGTTGCAAGCTAAGCTTTAAAAAATCTTAGGTGAAGAATCATGGGTTTATTCAATGTAAAAGCTTTGTTTGTATGTTGGAAGGTTTGTGGGTTAATCTTGTAAGAGTTTAGGTCTGATTTTAGTGGAACTCTCAAGAAGAAACTCTTGTGAAAAGGAGTAAATCAAATGGTTAGATCAAACATATATAAATCTTTGATGCACTTACTCTAAATTCTTCTCTCTTTAAATATTTGTTGATTATTTTATTTTTAATGCATATCTCTTTTTATATCCATTTTTCTTTTATCTAATTTTTAACCTCTAACATAAACATTTTAAAAAGTAAAAATATTTATAGATGATCAAAATTTCAGAACATTTATGAAGCATGAAAAGCAACAAGATGATCTAAATAAAAATAAAGAAAGATCCTCATTTATTTTTAGATGTTATCAATGCATAGAGAAAATACACACAAAAATCAAATAGCCCACGGAACCATAAACAGAGAAAGAACCAAAATTAAAATCAAATAACATTAGAGAAACCTTAAAAAGAATTTAAAAAATCCTAAATCACATGGGATGAAAAGACATGGAATCCTTAGAAAAGGAAGAAGCAAATATTTGTTTCATGGAAAATCACGAAGAAGATGAGGTAACTTTACATTTCTATTATGATGATTCATTTTGCATATGTAAGAGATTAAATAAAGAATTAAATAAATTGAAACACCTTGTCTCCACCTCTAAACTTGATATTTCTTCCCTTGTAATAGAAAATAAAAACTTATTGAAAGAAATAGAAAATTTTAAAGAAAGACGAAGTATTATAATTCAAAGTCCTTCCTCTTCTCATCAAGTTTTAGTTGAACCTATCAAATATGACCAATGCAATTTTTTATAAAATAAAATTGATGATCTTTAAAATACACTTGATAAGTTTACTAAAGGAAGAGACAACTTGAATCTTGTTTTAGGAAATCAAAGAGTCTCGTGTAATAAAGCTGATTTAGGTTATAAAACTAAGAATAACAATAACAAAATCCCTTCAAATGAAATATGTCTTTTTAGTGATGAGGATGAATTTCGCCTATTGCATGTGAGAGTAGCTCATTTCCACATGGATTATTTAAACAACACTACAACATTTGTTGTCTCTGACAATACTTTTTTAGGTAACATGTAGAAATTGTTGCCTTAAATTCATATAGGCAACGATTTACGATTGTTGTCAAAAATATGTTTGCAACCCTTGATAATCGTCGCCTAAAATACTTTTGGGGACGTTTATGGAGCGATACTCTTTTATTTTTTTGCCAACGGTTGTTAATTGTGCCCTTAATTACTTTTGGAGACGATTTTAGAGCGTTAAAATATTATTTCTTTAGCAATGTTTGACAATTGTCCCCTAAAATATTTTTGGAGACATTTTTAGATTGTTACATTAGTTCTAATAAAAGGCTACATTTCTGAAATGTTGTATAAATTTTTTTAGAATTATCAAATTTTTGGTGGCAATCTTCCCTCCAAAACTTATACACTAAAAAACAAATATTTTTCTCTAAACATTATTAATATATATAAAAAAAATATTTTTCTAACACAGGAATTTAAAAATAAAAAATTTCAATTAAACAGAAAATAAAAAATTATATATATATATATATATATATATATATATATATATATATATATATATATATATATATATATATATATATATATATATATATATATATATATATATATATATATATATATATATATATATATATATATATATATATATATATATATATTAGTCTAAAACTTATATATATTTCAATTAAACAGGAATTTTTCTAACACATTATTAATATTTCTCTAAAACTTATATATATATATTAAAAAAAAATTTCATTAAACAGAAAATATAAAATTTTCTAACACAAGAATTTAAAATATTTTTTCATTACTAGTCCTCTCAATTATTGCCACGTCTTATTAAAAAGAATAGAAAATTAAAAAAAGAAAAAGAAACAGATAAGGAAAACAAAAGCAGCAGCTTTCGATTCTCCTTCTTTTTCGTTCACACATTTCGCCGAACCTAGCCGCGCTCTCAGACGCTCCGTCCTTCATCCGCTCCGAGTCAAACCTCTTTCGTTCACACCCTACGCCGTGTTCTTCGTCACTTCGTCCAACTGCCACGCCGTGTTCGTCGTCCACGTCGTCGTCCGTTCGTCGTTCACCGTCCAACTGCTTTCGTCCACGTCGTCCGCTGTCCACGTCGTCCGCCGTCCACATCGTCTAAGTCGTCCAAAGAATTGCTCAGAGCAATTGCATCAATTGCTCAGAGCAAAGAATTGTCTGCTCTATGTCAAAAGATTATCCATTTGATACCGAAAAGACAACTTCAAAGGTAAGTCAAAGATTTTTTTAATAAACCTATAGAAGTTAAGTACTACGTTGATAGATCTACCGAGTCTGAATTGAAATTGAAATTTATTGGATTGAATAAAAACTTTAACCTCAAGCATGTTAAAGCTTTTTTACTAAAATCTTAAGGTGTTTAGCAGAAGTATTGAATGGTATTCTTTTCATCTTTATTCACTTCTTTCTGGAACTGAATGGTATTATTTCTGATGATGCTGACTTGGTTGAAGCTCTAAAAGTTGTTGAAAATCTACTATCAAGCTAATGAGGTATTTTCCTGATGAGAATGGTTTCTATTAGTTTCTTGACAATAATCGAAGGTATGTGTATGAGGATAGAATTGTAGAGCCGAAATAAGTTTTGTCAAAAAGGAAGAAGTCAGTGTCTATTTCTGATCATGTTGGTACATCATTTGATTTGTCTTCATTGCTTGATGGTTTATTATTTGCTAGTGCTAATTAAATCCTACTTTGATGAATAGTTTAGCAAGATTCTAGTTGATTCCCAGGCCTGAGAATCTTGTATTCATGCTCATATTATTTTGGTAGAAAGGGAAGCCAAGGCAAGGGAAGATAAGATCAGAGAGGAAATTAATTAGTAGTACTACCTTTTCTTGAATTGAAATTAATTACATGAAATTGTTTTTTAGGAGTAGTAAATTTATTTTGTTATTTGAATATGTATATGGCAATTGTAGTAGCAGATTAGTAAAAGGGACATGACGGATATTAGGTAGATATTCTGTCAATTGTAGTAGCAGATTAGTACCAGACGAAATTCTATTCAATTTCTTTCACAAGGTTGATGGAAAATGATGGAAAAGATTACATAAACACTTTCACAATTTCAATCAATATAAATATTACAGTACTCCCATGTTAATGTTTTTTTTCTGATGTGCAAGTAGGTTTCTTATTTTGATCTTGATCTTTGTAACTCATAATTGTGTACATTTCACATGTGGCTTTTCACACAATTTACTTGCATTCTGTTTTGGTTGATACTTTATTACGTGCATGATGCGGTTCCCGCAATGTTAGCTTAGTTTCTTTTGAATTGTCACTGTTAAGGTGTTCATGTATATGTGTGTTGTTGTACGGTGTTTTATGGTTTGGTGTTGTTTAGTTTGGACAGCATAATTGTTTGTCTACCCAATATCATTTTCTAATTATTTGTCTTTAGATCATTCACCGTCGTTGTTTTGGTTAAACCTCAATAGATATTTCATCGGTTTCAACATTGTTTGGGAAAGAAACGTCTCCGTTTCATTTACTAGCTTTGTTGTTGTTGCAGTGAAGGAAGTTGTGTTGAAATCGAAGTCGCTTGTAACTAAGGACATGATTTTAGTTTCTATTACTGCTGGAATCAAGTTGAAAGAATTCAGGTAACAAATACATATTATATAGTTTGAAAAGAAACAACAAATACATATTATATTAGACTATGAAATGTTTGTGCATGTTTAGATTAAAAGTTCACCAATTTATTCTATGTTTGGTATTGGAATGCATGTTTAGTGTATATTTAGATTATAAATGAAATTTTTATAATAACTATGCATTTGTAAAAGCTACGTTGATATATGAACCATGGTGTTTTTCCATCCTTTATATGATAAAGAGTAATGTATAATTTATTTCATTTTAGAAAACCAAACATGATAAAGAAGGATTGGGTGGAGTTACCTCCACACAGTCAAAGTTATAAGGACGGTGTAAATTACTTTTTGGATATTGCATTCACCAAAGGAATGGTTGAAGAAGAAGAGATTTTGTGTCCTTGTTTTGTATGTTGCAATGATAGTTGGGAAGTAAGAGATGTAGTGTATGACCATTTATGTAGTAAAGGATTTGTAAAGGGATACACTGAATGGATTTATCATGGTGAAGATGAGAGTCTTATAGATCTTGATGGTGATAGTGATGATGAAACATCATCTCATGATGATATCGATGGCTTACTATTTGAGACATTTAAAGATGTGGCTGAAGGAGGTGGAGTACATGAAGGGATAAATGAAGATGCAAAGAAATTTTATAAACTAGTTGATGATGCAAATCAAGAGTTGTATCCTAGTTGTGAAAATTTTTCCTCGTTATCATTCACTATTCGAATTTATTTGTTGAAATGTCTCCATGGATGGAGTAATGCATCATTCACTGCTCTCGTAGAGTTGTTAAAAGAGGCTATGCCAGATTTGAACATCCCTGTCTCTTTCAATAAAACAAAATCTATGATAAAAGATTTGGGCTTAGACTATAAAAAGATTGACGCATGTCCGAACAACTGCATGTTGTTTTGGAAATATCACGAGAAAGATGATTCATGTCATATTTGTGGCACGTCAAGGTGGATTGAATATCCTGAAGTTGCTAATGATCTTGAAGAATCTATAAAAGCTCATAAGGTTCCCGCCAAAGTTCTAAGACATTTTCCATTGATTCCAAGATTGAAAAGACTTTTTATGTGTTCAAAGACAGCTGATACATTGAGGTGGCACGCAGACCATCGTTCTAGGGATGGGAAGTTAAGGCATCCAGCTGATGCCCAAGCATGGAAAGACTTTGATGCCAAACATTCATATTTTGCTTGTGAAACTCGTAACATCAGACTTGGGTTGGCAAGTGATGGGTTTAATCCATTTAGGACCATGAGTCTTTCACATAGCACATGGCCTGTTGTATTAACAGTATATAACTATCCGCCAAATTTGTGCATGAAGGCTGAAAATTGTTTGATGTCGTTACTTATTCCTGGACCAAAGTCACCCGGAAATGAAATTGATGTGTATTTGCAGCCACTTATTGAGGAGCTTAAGATATTATGGGAAGTCGGTGTAGAAACATATGATATTTCAAAAAATCAATCATTTCAAAAAAATTTAATGAATTTTTACAAAAATTAGAAACACCAAAAAAAGAAACTCAACAAGAAAGTGTTCAAAAGGTTGATCACAATTTGGACAAAGAGACTATTGCAAAGAAAATGGAGATAGACAAACTCTCACAACCAAAAGTAATGAAAGATCATGCACATGGTGACAAAGAAGTTGTACAAGGTAAGTGATTTTTAAATTTTTCTATTATGCATATATTACATGAAATTATTCCTAATATCTTTTGGTGAATTTTTACTAAAATTAGAAACACCAAAGAAAAGAACTCAAGTGAAAGCTACAGTGAATAGAGAAAGAATTCAAAAGGTTGATGGAAAATTGGACAACCACATTGTTATGAAGAAAGCAGAGAGACCTAAGCTTTTGCAACCACAAGCTAAGGAAGTTCTTGCACATGGAAACAAAGAAGTTTCACAAGGTAGTTAATATCTCTGCATATACTTTAAATTTATATATTTCTTTTCATGACATTATTATGACGAGAAAATTATATTGAAACCAGGAATGCTGAAAAAAAGAATTCATGAGAATATACTAGAGAACAATAGAGATAAAATTCAAAAGGTGGAAAAACCAGTTGCAAGGAGAATACTTATTTCTTCCAAAAATAAGAAACCAGAGAAATCTACTCTATCTTTGGACACAATGATGTCAAAAGCTGAATGCTCTCAAAAGCTAAACAGGGTGCCAAAATGCCCATCAATGTTGATTGATGATTATGTAGATCTTCACAAGTCAAAGGAAATGGATGCAACCAAGTCAAACAATGGTGAAAAACCGGGCAGCAGCGTTAACCGTAGCTCTAATCAAAATCAATCAAAAAAAGGAACTCGACAAGAAAGTGTTCAAAATCGGGCAAAAGTCAACGAAGAAGATGCAATCACAAATAGAGAAGAAGAAAAAGGTAATTAGTTTCATATTTCATAATAATGATTTCATGTATTATTTACATATTGGTAGCAAACATGTGATATCATGTTGTTATGTTATTACTTTATAGAAACATCCCAAAGAAAAACTCGTGGGAAAACTTTGTGCAAAAAGATTCATGCAAGAACTTTGGAAGAGCGAGTAGAAGTGACCTTTAATGAGGATTTTCAGCCAATTGGTCCTAGTGAAAAAGTAGTATCTGACTTGAGCCTCTTCTTGGGAACATTGGCTAGGAACTCAACATTTTGTCCTCTACGTTACACCAATTGGTCAGGAATGCCAGATGATAATAAAAACCGTTTCTGGAGATATACTAATGTATGTTTTTATCTATGAATTTGAAAGTCTAATTATTAAAAAAAAGTGTTTCATTTCTTGATCTTGTCTTATCTTATAATTTATGTAGCGGAAGTTTATCTTGCCGGTTGAAGCACGAGATTGGATTGAGACCACTGTTAGAGAGGCATGGAGAAGATATAAGCACAAAATTAAGAAGAATCATTTTTTGAAGTATTCCAACATGACCGAGAGACTCAAAAATCGTCCGCCAAACGTGCCAATAGCCCAGTTTAAGAGTCTTTGTGCTTTGACTCGTGAAAAAGTGGTAACTTTCTTTTGTTCTCAATAAATTATTCCTTGTATGAATGTTTCTTTGTTCAATTAAAGTATTCGTGAAAAACTTTTCTTTGACTCGTGAATAGGAATTTTAATTCACATAATTTGTTTCTTTGACTCGTGAATGTTTCTTTGTTCAATCAGAAATGTTTGTTGATACTCGAAAAGGAAATAAAGGAAAGAAATTGGATGTAGAAACTGGAAAAGTAATTGTATGTAACATTGTTTATATAATACGTTTGCTTAATATAATCGGCCAACATTGTCTATAATAGTAGCTAATATTTTTTTTTTTGTAATTTATGCTAGTCCCAAATTCAAGAAATGGTTGAAAAGGAGGAAAGTGATACATAAGCTTTTAAAGTTTTTTTTGGAAAGGAGTGTCCAGGCAGGGTACGCTGTTATGGGAGAAACATAACTAAAACTTCCTTAAAGAGAAAGGCAGAGATTAATGCTTTGAAACAAGCCCACAGTGAAGAGGTCTCTACATTAAGGGACGAGTTTCAAGATAAGATTGATAGATTGCAAAATGCTTTTAAGACCGTAATACAACAATGCAATCCTCAAATTAATATAGAGTCAATTGAAGATTTGTTAGGATTATCTCATGGAGATGCTAATAGTTCCCCAAAGGATATAAGACCGCAAATGCATTCATCTACATCAACTCATGCTCCATGTCATGGAAAGGTAACCATATATACCAATATTATTGATTTATATTTTTCTAATTATGTTATAGTATCAAAATGGTTGTTAATGTATGCAAAAATTTGCAAGTAGTGACAACACCTAGAATAAAGTAAGTGGTTGAAATTGTTTAAGTAGTGACAACACCTAGAAGTGGCTGAAACTGTTTTATTTGTGCGAGCTTTCATTGATATTTCACAAACATACTTGCCTGGGATAAGATTATGGGACCCCCTTGTTTGATAACACTCACTATGTATGCTGTAAATTTATCCATATGATACTGAACACCAAAGAAGATACAACAAGTAAGAGTGTTCATCAGAGTTCATTTACTCCAAAAAATAAACATAAAAGGATAGCACAAGTTATACATACATACATACATACAGTTAAAGGCTATTGTAAGTCCTGAATAGTGAGCCAAAAACAGAATGGTTTTCATAATTGATTTATTTGCTAGTAAGCTCATGTCACCTATTACAGTTTAGAACGAAAATTCACATCCATTAAAAACCTTCATAATTAATTCACATCCATGAGATGTGAAGAATATAAACAATGTGTTTTGCTCATTGGTTTAGTTTTTATTTGTGCGAGGTTTAATTCTTGTTGATGTCTTAATTGTCCTTTGGACCAAAAATACTTATGGTTAATGTGTTTTATTTTATTTTCTTATGCAGTAATGTATCAATGAAGATGTTGAAAAGGACGATATAAATGATGAAATTCAAGAGGACGACATAAATGATAAAATTCAAGAGGACGACCTAAATGATAAAATTCAAGAGGACGACGTAGATGACGAATTTCAAGAGGACGACATAGATCTAGATGATGAATTTCAAGAGGAGGATATAGATGGTGAATTTCAAGAGGACGACGTAGATGGAGAATTTATGGAGGATGACATATCTAACGAATTTCAAGAGGACGATCTGGATGCTTTACTCCTAGAAGACAAACTTGAATGAGTTGGATGATGTCTTTTTTTTGGCTTGTAGTTGAAAGCATTAAACTTGAAATATGATTTTTGTTCTTTTGCTGAACTATGTTTTTAGTTATTTTACTAGGGTCATACTTCAAAGTATTAAAAGTAATATTGTTACGTTAAGCATTTTGTGTACTCTATATACTATATCTTGAATTAAAGTTTGAACTCGATTTTATTATATTACAACTTTTATGGATGTATGGTTTAAGTTATATAATCAATATTATTTTTGAAGCCAATTATTATTGACTATATTATTTTGATAATAATTGCAAAATTGTATATTTTATGTGGACACTATAAAACAACAACCTATAAGCTATGGCTACACTTCAAAAACGATCTTCCTGATTCAGGTTTAAGGCAACGATTGTTAATTGTAGCCGAATTTGGCAACGCAACGCTTAAAAAACATTGTCTCAGAGGCCGTAAATAATCGTCCCTTATTCCTTTACTATAGGCGACGTTTTTCAAAAGCGTTCCCAAAAAACATAAAAAAACGTCGCCTCAAACAATAGGCAACGCTCGCACAGGAGACGCCTAGAAAACGTCCCCTATTGTTTTAGGCAACGATTTTCAGAGTTCTGGCAACGTTTTTCAATTGTTGCTGGAGAGCCTAAATGTTGTAGTGCAAGTTAGTCCGCAAGGATTTAATAATCAGTTTTACAAAATTGTATTTTGAAAACCATGGGTTTTAAGATGCATATCAAAAGGATAAATAAGTAAAGACTTCTTTTAAATATAGAAATGTTGTTTTATACAAATATGCATTTACAACTATTTCATATGAATCTTTTTGATCCATCCAGAACCATGAGTTTTTATGGGAATCATTATGCCCTTGTAGTTGTGGATGACTACTCTTGCTATACATAGATGATTTTATCATCTCATAAAAGAGACGTGATTATGAATTCCAAATGTCGATATCAAGAACTATTCTAATGATAATGGAAATGATCACACTTTTTTTCTCCACAAAATCTCCAACAAAAAAAGGCAATAGAATAGAAAATAGATATCTTTAAGATTTAGTGAAGAAGATGCTCAATGAAACTAACCTTTCTAAGTATTTTTGAGCTAATGTAGTAAGCTTCTCTTATTATGTGATGAATCATATCGATAAAATCAATTGTAAATCAGAATCTATATGAGTTATACAAAATAAGGAAGCCTAATATTTTACACCTTCATATAATAAGATGCAAATGTTTTATTCTCAATAACAGACAGGATAGTCTCACAAAGTTTGAGGATAAAGATAATGAAGGTCTATTATTAGGATATTCCACTTCTAGTAAGCCTTTTATGGTTTTCAATAAAAGAACCAAGTATAAAAAAAAATCCATTCATATTACCTTTGATGAATCTAACCAAAGTCAGTAGAGGTATGTGTTGTTGAGTGTGTAGGTATATTGGAGAAAATATATATAACATATACAGATCAAGACAAATATCAAGATAAATATCAAAATAAATATAAAGATGAAGATCAATATTAAGATCAATATAAATAACAAAATCAAGATGAATATCATCAACGTGAAGAGATGTTCACCATCTTCCTAAGAGATATGTTATCATTATCCAAAAGGGGCAGAATATGGATCTATATGCATGCATATATAATCTTTTCAATTGGTGATGAAGCTTTAAAGATATCAACTACATAAGTCAAACGACTTTTGGATGTTGAGATTTATTTATGACGAAGAGATTGGATTTCAACTATCAAGTAAAGTTAATGATGATGACACCTAATCAAGAAAAAATATCACGCTTCATTAATTAGACAACTGAAGAATCTATTTAGAGTGTTGATCAAGTTGATGAATCAAGTAGTGAATCTTAAAGTTTGAAATATAGAAATTATGAAAGCTCACTTGATCATACACTTTACATCTTAGAGTGATCGTTTTAAACGTAAGAAGTCAATAGTAAATCTTGAAGTACTATGGAAATCACACATACACGCACATAAAGGTTTTAAAATCTCTCTAATTCTATAAAACTTCTTAAAAACAAATCTAGACTTATATGGAATTGATTAAGAAGTGTTTCTAATCAATTAGGGAATTTTTTTACACTGCCTAGTTGATTAAAGACTTAGTTTAGTCAATTACAACAAGTTAAATGGCCTCTTAATTGATTAGAAAAGCAATTAATTGATTAATGTGTATGATAGTGTTAAAGTTTCCTTTTTTGAATTGAAATTGTCGTGTTTTGAAATGTTTTCATTGATGACTTGATATGGTTAATTGAATAAAACATTAAAAGGATTCATGAATCATTTCCTTTTTTAGTCATATTTTTTCCTATCTAAAGGAGGTTTCTCCTCATTTCTTCTTGCAGCGAAATTCTTAATAGAAATCTCTCTATTCTAGTTCTAAACTCTCTATTTTTATATTTACTTTTCATGAGAATTGTCACTGTGCTAAAATACCTAAAATTCATTGTGAGAGTTATATAGTAATTAGTATTGATATTGTGATTGGTAGTGTGATTCCATTGTGAATTGTATATGTAAAGGACTTAAAGGTTGCATGTTAAACCTTGAAAACTCTTGGGTGAAGGGTATTGTGTAACACCCTAAAACACTGTGTTTATTATGATGAAATAAAGCATAAAGAAAATATATATCGCACTTAGGATGTTACTCAACAACAAACACATCTGTTTTGTAATACAAAATCATATAATAAGACATTCAACACCTATCATCATATGTTCACCTTCACTTAGGGTATCTTTGCAGCGGAATCATAAAGATAAGCATGCTTTGAAAAGTCATATAAGTCTCATAAAATACTTTATTAAAACTCAATAAATACGGTAAAAATCTCCTCAAAACAATATAGTCATCACAACAACGAGAGTATAACATTTAACTCTCTAAATAACCTAAACATAATAAAGGAAAACATTGTTTTCTCTTCCCAATGTTACATATCAGAGTAACGTAAAACAAAAAGAAAGAAGAACAGTTTCATGCCATCCTCCCACTCTAAGAAGCTACTTAGTTATATGCTTATATGTACTTCAAAGAGGAGCACAAACCACAACAACAATAAAGGGCTAAAAAATCACATTAATAAAGTAAGCAGTACATACTGCAAGGTAGAGTTTCAATATATATATATATATGTTCTACAGATAACTCCATATAACATGTCACAGTAAATTCTCACATAAAACTCAACAATCACGCACAAACGAATATTATGCATACAACTCATTTATGTAATGCAACTCGATGCATATGCATGTGGTACTGACCCAACATTTGGTTCTCTTAGGAACCGAGTCCCATCTCTGAACCCATGGTCCCCCTCTCTGAGCTTGGGATACGTCACTAGTTATGAGTTCTAAATTATTGTGAATTTGATTATGATTAATTATCACTCATTAGCTTAATTCTTTTGCTTTTCGTCAATAAACCTCAACTTTAGTGTATATTCGGTATAATTTATGTTATAGTGTATATATTGTGTTATCGTGTAAATATCATTGAGTATAATTTTTTTTATCTCATTTTTGTAGGTATTCAAGCATTGATATTTAGTCATTCATATATAGAACATTGAATAAGATTTCTAACACTTCTGATCATGTGTAAATCGAATTTACGGTTCTCAAGTTATAGCCGAAACAATGCTGCATTTTTCTGTTTTTTGTCAGCCTCGCACCGAGCTCGCCGAGTGAGCCAGAAGTGTGGAAATGCACCCTAAAGCGTGAAAAAATGTTGTTTTGAGCGTCGAGCGAGACGGTCTGGGTAGAAACAAATTTTAAGGGTAGACATACATTTTTTAGGTTATGTTTTGGGATAGTTGTTCCCAATTCATCAACCACTTTTTTTTTTGTCTTGAGAGCTTAGAAAAGCATCAATGGAGGTTGCAACTCGACGATTAGAGGTGGATGGTTCTTGGTTCGTGATTGACGCTGTGAGATATTTTGATCCCTCTTCTCTCTTCCCTTTGTAGTTTCCATTTGTTGTGAGTTTGTATGTAAGTTTACCTTGATTATATGTATATTTACTGCTCATGGTGTTGTATGAAATTCATTTTACAAATCGATGTTGATGATTGCTTTCTTTATTTGGGTTTGAGTTGTTGTAGAAATGGGCAGTTTGAATTCGAATTTAGTATGAACATCAATTGGGTTTTAATTCTAGAGATAAATTAAGACTTAATATTCATTTAGGTATCAAAGCTTAATGCTTCCATGTTGTTTGTGTTGCGCTAAGAGATCGTCGGCGCGAGTAATATAGTCATTGTCTTATTCTGTGTTAGAGATAACCTTTGTGTGAAAGATACGTGATAATATTGACGAGTGATTTAGGTCGAGTACAACTGTGTGATAAGTTTAAGTATTTGACAGGGTAGATGGAATGCAAACCCGAGAATTCTCTATTTTCCGAAGAATGAATTCTTTTTTGTTCTTAAGTTTTAATTCCCACATTTACTTTAAACTTATTTTAATTCAAACTCATAAACGAGAGACTTGTCGAACGAAAATTCAGTAGCACTAATCCCTATGGAGACAATATGATAAAACTAAATACTTACTTACTTTTGCTTGCCGCTTTACCGCTTCAACAAAATGGTGTCGTTGTCGAGGATTGGTGTTTTTATTGAATCGCATTGCGATAGTTTCTTTGTTTTTGAATTTGTCACATAATGTTCATATTGTCTATATGATGTAATTAAACTTATACATGTATACTTGTGCATTTATGTGTTCATATTTCCGATACTTATAAATTTAGTGAATATGTTTGTTTCTCTTCATGTTTGCTAAGTGTTTGGTTAGGTGTTGCCGTCGCTGGAACTAACTGTGTAAAGAGGCAACTTGTAGGAGTGTGTATAAATAAAGGCATCGTGCTAACAACGTAAAACAAGCATGTTGTATTATTTTGAATTGTTGTAATATATGTAGTAAGGTGAAATTGACTAAACAAATTTAAATAGGACCAGTTTGGAA